CTTATCCCTCTCAGGTTTCAGCTGGTCCTGGAAGTAGTGCTGGTCCTAGGGGCAATCAACCTACTAGTGCAGATATGTTCAGAGCTCCAATTTCTGATCCTGGTGTCCTCCCACGTATGCCGATTAGGCCAGGGTTTTATCCTGGCCCAGTGCCGTTTGAAGGCTACTATGGTCCTCCTATGGGGTACTGTAATCCAAACAATCAAGATGTGTCATTTGCAGGTAGGCCAGCTGGTCGTTATGGTTATGACATGCACTCTGGTCAAGGTCCTTATTATGGTTATGGCATGCACTCTGGTCAAGGTCCTTATGGTTATGACATGCATTCTAGTCAAGAGCCTACTCATTCACAAGAAGCACGAGGACCATTGAAGGTCCTGTTAAAGCCACAAGATGGAAGGGTCGCGAAAGACGAAGCAAAGAGGGAAGAAACTAGTACAAATAAACTCCAAAATTCAGAAAAAGTAGCGCAACACAGACCATCTTCAAAAGATGAACGAAGGGACGCCAGAGATGATAGAATTATGGGAACAAAAACGTTGGTTTCTTCTCATAACTGGGAGGATGATCCTTCAGAGACTGTCAAATCAAGGCTATCTGAGCAACAACTAAAACCCGGGGCATGTGGTGAGGTACAATTAAAAAGGGAAGAAAATGCTGCATTAGGAGATCCCACATTGATTCGAAAAATAGAAGGCATAAATGCAAGAACTAGAACCACTGATGGTGGCCAAAATTCATCTGTCTCTAGTGGTGGTGAGCAGGGAATGAAAACTCGTACAGTCAATTCTGGGAACTCTGTAAATATGGTTTCAGCAAGAACACCTCAAACTAAACATGCACGTAATAGTAAGAACCCAGGACACTATGACCAGGGAGAACCTGCTACAAATAGAAACACTGAAGAAGAAGTTATTGGTGGAACTACAGTATTCAGGTCAGTCGTTATTCCTCAACACGTTTGTTTTGCTGTTTTGTGTTGGGAGTATTTAATATTTTATCTCCAGGAGATATAATCAAGTGGCTCAGGGTAGAGAAGATCATCCGAGCGAAAGAAGAGTGATCAATAAAGACAGTGATGGTCCACATAAGAAAGTTATATCCGGCTCCTCCTGTGGCAAATCAGCTGCAAACTCAGAAAGCTATACCCAAGGCATTGTAGGCAATACCTCTGTTAGTGACCCTATCACGAATCCTGCAGGAAAAATTAGGAGAGAATTTGAAGTTTCCACGGACACAAAAGGCGGCCAGGTAGATATTTGTTCATATGATTTGGGTGCATATTTTTCTTTCTCTACTTGTTCTGGTTCTACTCACTGTTTGGCATGCTCTCTTAGCAGCATTCTACAATGAAAGATTTAGCCAGGCAGCGTGCTCAACAAAGGTTGAAAGAGGAGGAAGAAAGAGCAAGAGAGCAGCACGCTAAGGCTCTGGCAAAACTCGAAGAGTTAGATCGACNTTNGGTTGGTNGAACAGAGGTNACTGATGTTACTCCANCTCCTGAGGTTATCAGTGAAGGTGTTTTAAGTCCTATATCAGGTTTGCCTGCAACGTCAAGCATGTCAACAGAGTCAACTTACCCAAAAAAGAAAAATAATAGAAATGGGAAAAGAAGGCATAAGGTTGAAGAGACAACGGCAGTTAACGCGTCAGTAACTGAAGTGGGGAAAGAAATAAAGTCAGGAGATGAGTCAGTCGGGACNTGTAAGGCAAAATTAGCTGAGTTGGAGTNGGGTTCTTGTTCNGGTCCAACCTCAGACTGTACAGTGTCTTATAGNNCTGCTGAACAGAGAACTTCCTTGACTNATGAAGTGTCCCAAGGCAGAGCAAGGAGCAATTGGAAGTCTCAGCATTTGCATAGGACACAAAAAAACTCACAAGGNAATAAGCCTACCGAGAAGTTTCATGTCNCCGATGCTNCTATCTGGGCGCCTGTTATTCCTCAGCAAAAAGCTAATATTCCGCCAGATGATACTAGTCAGCATGCTGTTTCTGAGTTTGGCACCTCTTCAAAGAGTGCAGTGCAGACTAATTCTAAAAATAGAGGAGTGGAGATTGAAAGATACGTACCCAAACCCATGGTAAAAGAAATGGCCGAGCAAAGTCAGAGTAAAAAAGAAATAGCGGCTACTGACATGATCCAGGGTACGGGGCAAAAGAATGATAGCGGATCTGAAAGTAATAGAAGTCTGCAACTGTCTGTTTTAACTGAAGAGAAACCTGGGTCTTCTTCAGAGTTGGGACTCGGGAGTGGTAGGCAGAGCAAAGCTGGTAGAGGAGTGCATGGATCATGGCGCCAGCGGGGCTCTGCAGAGACTGCTAAAACCTCGGAACATGTACAGTCTGTAACCTCGAATCAGCCCAGCCGGAGATCTAATTCATACCGCCAGAATTATAAAAGTGATGTAGTGAAGGAGCAGACCATGTCTACTGATGACGGATGGAATATGATTCCTGAACCAAACAATTCTCCTTCTGAACAGTTTGATCCAACCAGTGCTCCTCATGTTGCTGTTGTTGGGAATGTTAAGGGACGGGCCATAGCTTCCAGAGGCAATAAGGGTGGTGGAGGATGTAATTATGATGACTACAAAAACAACAATAACATGGATTCCAGTAAACTTCATACGCATCATTCTGCCTCTGGGTTAGGTCAATCAGATCGGCCTTCTGCTTCAAAGGAAAGTCATGGCCCTGGGGTTCACTCATCTTCTCACTGGAAACCCAAGACACATACAGATAGGTATGGTGGACCTGGAAATGACAACCGTGTAGCTTATAACAAAAACGAGTTTGCTAGAGAAGGGGAAATGGCATCAGTTGGTACACACTCTGAGGGCCAAATCCGTCCACCTACAGATAAAGAGGTTCAACTGGAGCTGAATCCGAGTTCCGGGTTCCGAAACAACTCAGGCAAGAGTCAACGGCTCGGAAAGGGGCAAGAGAATGTGCACCATGGGAAGTTGCCTGCAAGCAGAGACAGGCAGAGGCATAGTTCGCATTACGTGTACCAGCCTGTTGGTCCACAAAGTAATTATGGAGAACGCAATCAAGAACAGTTGAGAGAGAATTCTCAGTCAGCAGGAGGACAAATTCACGGCCACCCAAGGCATGGTGGAGAAAGATTTCACCAGCAGCAGCGAAGGGGTAGTGTTCAGAGAGACTCTGGTTATTATGACTAGTGGCGGTTGGGGAGTAAAATAAAATAAGTTTGGCTTCTATCTTATTAGGTTTGTATGAGCGGCTACGATGGGCTTGTTGAATAATTGTTTTGGTACTCTGCGCGATTGATGGTTAGCTGAATGATGTTGCAGTATGTGCCGGTCAGACAGCCATTTTAATATTGCATCTGAAGTTAGCCTTTTGTAGGAACCAATCCACGATGGACTTTAGTTTTTCTCTGTCTTGTTTCCTTGGGGTTTCAGGGAAGCTAGACGTTAACAAATGCAGAGTTGTATCAGAGTGTAACATAATGGACACAACCTATATTGTTTCAATATTTCGTTTGATGTTTAGCCATTTCAATCTGAGCTTGACAAAGCAAACATTGGTCGGAATTGAACAGTTTAGTTAATCGGCTTGCAGTTCTATTGAAATATGATCCTAGATCTGAACTTCATTGAGCAAATTGAACCAATGTTGGATGTCTGCGAAAATCAGCCACCATCGCAATTTGAACTTCCACCTCAAAGTTCCACTCAACCATGCACTTCCGTAAGCTTAGCAAAAATTTTCACTTTGTCCTTGTATTCGGCCAATGATTAGGCTTGAAAATATCTTGGACGATATCAGAAAAAAGTGCCAGCAAAGACAACATTATGAAATTGTACATTTTGTATACTTTTAGCTCGCAATTTGGCCTCCACTTCTATATTTATCCGAGAATAAGCACGCCAAACTATGAACCATTACATCCTTAAATTTTGGAACAACACAAGAAACTCATATCCTAACAGAATGTCTTTGTGGTGGTTTTCATTAGAAAATTTTTCTTTCTCCAAATTAAAGCTTTATCTCTTTGAAAACTCAAAAACTCAAAATTCTCTAATGAACAAAACTCTAGAGAAACCGAAGTGTTAGATTTCATCGCCAATGGAACCACAACAAGAAGCGAATCCTGATCTACTCAAGCCCATCTCTCTCCAACCACGCCACTCGTTGTAACCTTCCGTTGTAAAGGGTCAAAGATGTACTTACTTTATGTAAGTTGGTACACGGTGGTCAGTAGTGTGTACATAACACTTATCAAATATCAGGTACACTAGAGATGCGATTTTCGAGGCCGGCGAAGAGGTCTATGCAGTCACCAACGGAACAAAAAAATTATGAGTGGTTGTCGGCAAGAATTTGGTACAGAAAGAGTCGAAAAAGATGTAAACTTTAACGTTAACGGTCTCAATGCATGTACGTACATGAGTGTGATATACAAAATGAGTTAGCTTGTGATGTACATTTAACATTAATAACCGTGTGCAATCAAATTAAAGCTTTATCTCTTTGAAAACTCAAAAACTCGAAATTTTCTAGTAGTGAACAAAACTCTAAAAAAGCAACTGACAAATTCTCTAGTGAACAAAACCGCTGGAAAATCAACCCTAATTTTATATGCGTACAATTAATTTTGATAAAATATATAAATCTTTTATGTGACAATATTATCTCTTATCTTATAAAACAGAAGGTAGAGAGATACTTCTTCTTTTACTCTCATAATGACACTTAAGTTTTTTTAATACGTGTCACTATCACAAAAATTAGAATAAAAAATAGCAAAATAAATTTTATTTACGCTACCAGTTTCTCTAGAACATGGCCACGATCTCTAATTTTTTCCCTCCGCCCATATCTCAGGACATGATCTCGTGGCCTTTCTTAGTGACTACATATATATAGCACATTGGGAACTTCACCATTTTATTTTCACTAAATTATTTTCAGTTTTTTTATTAAAAATGTGAGCGACGCCAAACAAAGTAACTTGGTTTGTCGTTTCTGTTGATGAGAAACTACGAATTCAGATTCATATATTATCCCAGATGGTGCAATTGAAGAGCTCTATAATTTCAATGGAAATCAGAAGGTAAGGGACGATGAAAGGTAAAAAACTAAAGACTCATTTTTCTTTTATCTCTAAAATGACAATCTACCGGAGAAAATTAATCAAAGGAGAAGGTGTCTTCGCAAGCGTGGAGAATCCAATCCCAGGCATGCATGATCAACGTTTCTGATATATATGTACGTAATGTTTTTTTTTAATTTATAAAAAATGTACTTTATGTTCATATACTGGCTTTTGTGAAATGAAATTTGCAGGTTTCAAAAATTTGCAGGTTCCAATGTAGATACTGGCTCTAGTATGTCATCTAATCATCTTAATTGGATTGTTTATTAAAGATACCGATAACGAATCTCTTCTTTTGTTTCTTTTTTTTAGTTATAAAATTTTCTTACTACTGATCTACTTTTTGTTTTTGTTTTGAAACCTAACAGCAATTAATCTAGATCGGCGTCATTGAGAAGATAAGGCTTATCTACTTTTTTTGTTGTAAAGAGAAAAATAATATACCGTCATGTTATGTACATACACAAGTCTACATCATCATCTATATAACTTTCTCATCGAAGCACTTTGATATATATTTATGGTTTCTCGGTCAATTTTTCTTCTTTATTTTTTCTGGCATATGTCATGCCAGGAAATTGTTCGAAAGAAAAAAGATGGAGAAAAATACTATGATTTTTTTTTTGGTCAAAGTTTCTTAATTTCATTAAACCGTAGTGGAAGCTAAACCGGTGTGAGTTGGTTTAGTGTACAAGACTGATTTTGATAAACCATCAGCCAAAGAGTTTTTTTCTCTTGAAACAAATTAAGACAGTGGAATGGGGAGTAGTAGCTGAAAACAGCAAAAATTCAATTTATATTCATTTGTACACATGGTGAATTTATCATATTAGTTTTGTTAAAAATATTCAGTTTAATTTGATTTGATTTGATTAACTAGATTTTTTATTGAAAATATTTTATTGAAAGTAAGTCCGTGTATTTGCACGGGCATTAATACTAGTCATGTTATAATCCTCAATATATTAATTTTAG